TATTATATTATTTTCCTATCAATGTCCCCATCTTCATTAAAAGGCGTAAGATGACAAAAACAAGATCTTGAAGCATCTATCTATATACCACTAAAACTCTGAGATTGTTTATTTGCTTATTTTCTCAGTCAAAAAATCATTCACACTACCGTTCGCACTCTTTATGAAACTTCTTACTTCACTTTTTATGAAAAATGAAATGGTCTTTCCTTTTACTCCCGATCAACAATCAAATATCTTTTCTTCAATTATGAATAACACGATTGGATTGAAATATTTAATTAAATTATCTCAAAATAATTCTTCATTTTGGTGCAATATTGAAATATAACCTCTGGTTGACCCAACGGATCACGGTGGTCTAGTAACTATTAAAATCAGACAGTATGTTACGCTATACAGAATGAAAACTTTATTCACTATTTATGATGATAAAATAACATGGGTATGCTGGGTAGTTTAAAGGATGTTGGACATACAATCTTGGAAACAACAAATTATTGTTTGTTTTATTTCTTAGTGGCAAGTTGAATTGGAAGAAATCCTAGAGGTAGCTCTAGTAGACAGTGACCAGTGGGTCTCTATGTTAGCAGAATTATTGAAAACGTACTGCAGTACAGGGATGTTGAATTTCAAGATTGAGGAAAATACAACAGTATTTATTGATCTAATTACAGAACTGAAGAAACTAGGTAAGTTTTGTAATGTAAATAAACAGGAAATGTTATACGACAGTGTTTGTTGATCTAATTACAGAACTGAACAAACTAGGTAAGTTTTGTAATGTAAATAAACAGGAAATGTTATACAACAGTGTTTGTTGATCTAATTACAGAACTGAAGAAACTAGGTAAGTTTTGTAATGTAAATAAACAGGAAATGTTATACAACAGTGTTTGTTGATCTAATTACAGAACTGAACAAACTAGGTAAGTTTTGTAATGTAAATAAACAGGAAATGTTATACAACAGTGTTTGTTGATCTAATTACAGAACTGAAGAAACTTGGTAAGTTTTGTAATGTAAATAAACAGGAAATGTTATACAACAGTGTTTATTGATCTAATTACAGAACTGAAGAAACTAGGTAAGTTTTGTAATGTAAATAAACAGGAAATGTTATACAACAGTGTTTGTTGATCTAATTACAGAACTGAAGAAACTAGGTAAGTTTTGTAATGTAAATAAACAGGAAATGTTATACAACAATGTATTCCTTGTTAAAAATTCTTATAAGTTTACACTACAAGTAGTTTGTACAATATAGTTTCTTTTGTCAACGTGCCAGAACATCATACGTTCAAACTACAAGCAGTTTGTAAAATGTAGTTTTCTGTTGTTAGCCAGTCATATTGTTACGCTTCAAGCAGTTTTTACCATATATGTTCTTTTGTCAATGTGCCAGCCAATCATATGTTTACACTACAGGCAGTTTTTACAGTAATGTTACTTTTTTTTGTATGTGGTGGCCAATCGTACATCACTAATAGTTTATTGAATGTCCAAATAAAACATAAATATGTATACCAGTAATAGTTTTTATGGTTTTATAGTTCTCCATGGTGCTATCACTGATAATTGCTGATTTTCATGTTACCAGTAATAGTTTTTATGGTTTTATAGTTCTCCATGGTACTATCACTGATAATTGCTGATTTTCATGTTGTATGCTAAACAATAAACAATATATGAATGAAGTAAGTAAGAAACGTTTCAATATATATTTGAAATAGTACTGAATATCTGATTAATGTACCTTCTTAAAATTATATGAAAATAAAAAAACATAATTAAACTTGTATTTTACAGTTAGAAAACACAGTGACCAAGCCATCCTTCCGATGGAATGCTTATACTTGAACAGAAGTGCACTGACTGCTGTGGTTGGCCAACCGTTACAGCTTCTCAAGCACTTTGCACTAAAACGAAAACCTAAGTCTGCTGCTTTAAGAGCTGAACTGTTGCTGAAGTGTAAGTAATATTATAAAATGTGTCAAAAATATTAAGTAAATCAATATCGTGGTAGAATACAGTTATTGAACAGTGGCATTAATTATGTTGTGACTAATTCACATGTTAACCAATGTGTGTGATTTCAACTCATTTTTAAACCTTCAGTTAAATTTAGAGATGGTATATATGGCAGAGCACGTGACTCCTGTAAGATATTACATGTACATATATCACAGATTTTTGTCATTTAAAAGTTCCAATTAAAACTCCAATATGGTCTTGGTTCAGTTGGTTAACGAACTGTTTACATATTCTTTCCAAATATTATCCTTCCTAATATAAATAATTTTGAGTTTCATATATGTGTCATTTATCCATATTTTTATATGCAGAATTTATTTGGTACATATGCAGTACATCTTCCAAAAATTACATTTAATGTATTATTTCTGTTCTTTATTAATATTTACGTGATTGAATATAACTCAAATATCAAGGGGAAAACCACTTCATTTCTATCATATACACTTCTGCACAAACAAAATAGTCGTCACTCTGTCCTCCTGTTCTTTGTATTTAATCTTAATAAACCAGTAATCACAAACAAAATGGTCGTCACTCTCTCCTCCTGTTCTTTGTATTTAATCTTAATCTTAATAAACCAGTAATCACAAACAAAATGGTCGTCACTGTCTCCTCCTGTTCTTTGTAATTAATCTTAATAAACCAGTAATCACAAACAAAATGGTCGTCACTCTGTCCTCCTGCTCTTTGTACTTAATCTTAATAAACCAGTAATCACAAACAAAATGGTCGTCACTCTGTCTCCGGTCTTTGTATTAATCTTAATAAACCAGTAATCACAAACAAAATGGTTGTCACTCTGTCCTCCTGCTCTTTGTACTTAACCTTAATAAACCAGTAATCACTAACAAAATAATAATTTTTGTCCTTGTCTGTTTTATAAAATCTTAATAAATCCTCCATCATTTTGTTTCATAATTCCTTTACTTGCTTATTTTTGATACATCAAGTCAACAGTATATAGATTTAAAGATTGCAACGATACAACAGTATACAAATTTATTCCTTTTCTAGTTACCCTTTACATTTTATTATAGTTAGGAACATTACTACATTATAGACTTAAATCTTTTTAGTTACCCTGTATACAACAGAAAGGATATAGACTTGTCAAATATCCCACACAACAACAGGAAGTAAATAAACTTGTTAAATATCCCACACAACAACAGAAGGTAAATAAACTTGTTAAATATCCCACACAACAACAGAAAGTATATAAACGTGTTAAAAGTCCCACACAACAACAGAAAGTAAATAAACTTGTTAAATATCCCACACAACAGTAGAAAGTAAATAAACTTGTTAAATATCCCACACAACAGTAGAAAGTAAATAAACTTGTCAAATATCCCACACAACAACAGAAAGTAAATAAACTTGTTAAGTATCCCACACAACAACAGAAAAGTGAAGATTGAGAAGCTTTTTAAATATTTTGAATGTAACTCTGTGATAAGGTCATAATATTCACTTTTAACTACTTATACCTGGAGGGTTTATGAAGGTTTAGTGTTGTCTTGCTATCCGTTCTTATGAAGACGATAAAGGTGTACAAAGTTGGGTGAAAAACCAGTTGTTTGAAGTTTTCGTTACTCGTGTAGCCTGTTTTTATGATTGTGATGATTACTAACAAACAAGAAAGAAATGAAATTAAAGAAGTAAGGTCCAGTTTATTGGTTTAGTTGTATAACTATTTCAAAACAATATTTTATTTTATTTCACAGCCAGTGAAGCAGCATCAAACATAAAAAAAATGCCTTTAACACCATCAGTTCCGATACGTTGCAGAGGATTGTCCAAGAATCTCTTGGATGCAAGTAAGTAGAGTAACTTATTAAACCGTGTGAACACTTCCCTGCTGTTAACGAGATAGAATATCCACTTTTTTAAAAATAGGATGTGGAGTCTTGTGCGTAATTAACAATATCAAAAAAATGGTGTGGAATTTTCACGTAAACGTTATGAATTTATTGGTTTCTGCACTACAGGTGAATTCTTATGTCTTTGGTTTTCATTTCACTTCTATCTTTTCTTAGCACCGTTAAAAGGAATTCCGAGTCGAGTACCGTCAGGAGGATTTAGACCAGCACAAAGTGGGATAAATAGATTGGGAGCTGCTCCACCATTAGGAAGAACACTCTCCAGGCCTCCAGCTGGTAGGAAGGATGGTGGGATAAAGGTTGGTTTTTATATTTATAAGTAGCGATTGTATCTCTCTTAATTAGCAGTACGCATTACTGGGTTGATTTTTATTTAAGTAAGTAGCACTCTAATTACAAGTTAATATTAGTTAGACATACTTGAAAAATTGGTTTGGAGAATCTCTACTATCTGAGCTGAATGAAGATTATAGGAGTCACGCTGCTTGTTTCGAACTGTAAAGTAACGAACCAGAAGTAATAACTGTTCTTTTGGGACGATGATCACTTGCCAAGTTCTTAGTTAACAGGAAAGATTTCTTGTACTTTAAGCTGTAAATTAATTTACGAGAAGTAACTTTTCTTTAAGAATAATTACCAGCTAGGCTTATGTTGTTCAGAAAAGTTAAAAAATAAGGTTTCTAGCTGTAATTGGGTTTAAATTTTAGAATTTAAAATGATTTTAACTTCACCAATGATAATTATAATAAATATGAAGTAAAATTTATCAATAAATGTTGTAATAGATATGAAGTAAAGTTCACAAACGGTTGGTGTAATAATAGCAGTTGTACTGATAATTTCTACACACAAAGTCTTGTCGTGTGTGACTGTTGTTTGTTTTTGTAGCTTTTAGACATCAATGAACAACCAATAGGTTATGGGAGAGATGCCAAGAGAAGGAAGAAGCAACCTGGTATGTCTAAAGTGCTTCTGTTTGTCTTTATATAAACGATTGCTGTTTTAGTTGGCAAACACGTATTTAACGTAGAAAGGGATTGAGATTGATAGATGCTTGATGAAGCCTAGAAACGTCTCTTTCTCTAAGTAGACAAAAAAGACACAAGCACTAAAGTTAGAGAAGTGCAGTGAAAAGTTTGTTTTTTTTCTTGTTTATATCATTGTGTAAGTCTGTAGTGTGTATAAAACTGTTATGTAGGAGCCAGTTAAAGCTGTTTAAATATAAACAATTATTTTATTGTAGATATCAGTCTAAACTAAAGGAAACATTTTAACCAGAGTTGTTATACAACTAGAGATTACTTGTGTGTTTTCGTTGGTAATTTGCAGAAAATGAAACTGCTGAGCAACGCAAAGAAAAAGATCCTAACCAGCCGCTAACGATGGCAAACCCATCCACACCAGACTACGCAGCAGGCTTACTGTCTTCTTCATCTCAGGTAGGATATATTTTTATATTTTTCTTTAACTTAGTATGGTTTTCATTCAAGGTTAAAGCTGCCTGACGAACTATCTGTTTTGTGCCTACCTCTAAGCCTAAATTTTAACATGATAAGCCCTCGGGGTTACTTCTGAGCCACTAGGGTATATTAAATAGAATTAATAGCAATATGTGATCACACTAATTTGTACTATTACATTTGCTAATACTATATCAGAATGAACTCATTAACTTTTTCACTGAATCAAAGTGCACATATCATTAATCAAAGAACAACTGAGTCAAAGTACACATATTATTAATTAAACAACTGAGTCAAAGTACACATATCATTAATTAAACAACTGAGTCAAAGTGCACATATCATTAATTAAACAACGACCGAATCAAAGTAGCACATATCATTAATTAAAC